AGGCCCTGCCGCTTCCTGACATTGAAGCCACAGAATACCCTGACCCCCTAACATGCCGGGCTTTCCGCTGGGCCAACCCTCGCTGCCCTTTCTGACCCACTTGGACTTCCAGATGCTGCCCTCCCGGCCTCCACCCAGTGGGCGGGGGAGGGGGCAGCCTCCCAGGGGCGGTTTCTCTTACTCCGGCCCCTGCCCTGGAGCTCAGTGGCCTGGTCCTCCCAAGCGTCTGCTAACGTCTAGGTGTAATTTAAAAAGATTTAAGGTGCAAAGACACCCCTGGGACCGGCCAGTATCCATTTTCTGAGGGGTGACATGGCATGGAGGGTGGGGTCTGAGAGGCCCCCTGCCCACTGGGAGCACAGAGTGAGCCTGAGCAGGGTGTCCCAGGCTTCGCAGGCCCAGCACCCTTGGGGCCTCCACGGAATTGCCAGTAGAGGGGGCAGAGAGGGGTGCAGACAGCGGAGAAGGAAGGCACAGGGGGAGGATACTGGCTTAAGAGACAAAGGCAAAGAGCAAAAAATAAACGGCAAATTACCGGGTAGCCGTCTCGTCCTGATTGCCCCTGCGGTAATTAATACGTCATTAATAATCAGACTTTCAGCAGAAAACCATATGGCAACACTTAGAACTCAATCAAGGCCCCAGACGGCCCCCCTCCCGCCCCCCAGGCCCTGCGTGGTTGGCAGCAGAGGCTGCGGATTGGAAACCTTACTCTGGGGGTGGGGGTCAGGGGAAAAGCCCTGGATGCCTGTGGGTCTGGGGGTGAACGCCCCCTTTCCCACCTCCCCGGGTCAGGCTGGAGGGGCCACAAACTTACGGGCTTCATCAGGTGGCCTACCCACATCACCTGCAGTACATGGCAAAGACAGGTGGGAACACGGGGTTCTGAAGGGGGTCGCTCCTAGCCCCCAAGCCCCAATCAGGAACGGAAAAGGCTTTTCAACCAGGCAGGGCAACTGGGGGGCACGGAGGGCAGGTAAGAGACCCCTCCCTGCCGTCATGGGGACAGGGTGAACTGGGAAACCCTGAACAAGCCAGGCTGGTTGGGCAGTGATCACCCCAATCTCCCACTCGCCAGCCTCCCCTCCCTTCTCCCCTCGACGCCTCTGGCTCCCGCTGTGGCCTGAGAACTGCTTATTGGCCTCATACCCTGACGTTTCTAACAGCCAACGGAAAACCCCCAACCAGCCCTTCGCTGGCCCTCCATGGTGCGCACCAGCCAGTTCACACTGAGAGCCAGAAAGAGCTCATCGGTGGGAAACTGCTTGTGGCCCACAAATCCCTAAAGGCCAGGGCGCTTGCCCTTTGGCGCACCGCGGGCCCTGCGTGCGCCAAGGGCCCGGATCCCGAAGGGCCCAGCCTGGAGATGAATCACGCCAAAGAAGAAATCGGCTCATCTGGAAGGAATTCCAGCAGAAAGCTAGTTTTGGCTCAGGCCGGCTGTCAATGTGCTTCTTGAATGGAGTCACCACGGCCGATCAGGGGCTGAAACAAGGCTGAGGTGAATCAAAGCCAGGCCGATGACATGCTCCGGGGAATGGTGTGCTTCCTAGGGACTCTGGGACGCAACCCCGCTACTGCGGGCTACTGTGGGGTAGTCTCTGGGGAGTTCAGGGCCCGCCCCCTGGCACCTTCCTCCCACCCAAGGACTGTTCTGTGCTCCCCGGCTCACTGAGGGCTGAGCCCCTGGGGGGTGGGCCGTTCAATTCAGGGGGTCCCCAGTATTGTGAAGGAGGAGGGAAATGAACTCCAGGACCTAGTGATCAAACCCCACTGAATGCTGGGAACATCAGTCGCCGGCCCGCAGAGCCCTCTGTCAAATCGCTGGGACTGACCCTCGGACCACACCGGCGGTGGCAGAGCATTGACAAAAAACAAGGTCAGGGGTCAATGGGCTCCTCTCCAGGTGGGATCTAGCCTACTGAGCAATAGGACTGGATATGGCTTTGTTCCTGGGAGGTATTCTGAGCTGGAATATAAATCTGAAATGAAACATACTGGGAACAAAATATGGGCCCGGCACTTGGATTTCTGTGCATCTGGTTGGCCAGGGAGCTGATGAGGCACAGCCCCACTTGCTCACGGCCGTCCTCCCAGGAGGAAATGGCCACAGAATGCTCGCAGGCACCCTGGGCCGGTGGCCATCTGTGCTGACACCCATCCACAGTCCAGCAAAGGCACACTCGGTCATAGGAAGAGAATAAAAGGGCTTATCTTTCAGGAGCAGACCGGACAGTCCAGGACACTTACCGGGGGACCTGCAAAACAAGCAGAGAGGCCACCGTGAGATCACAGGGGGCTGCACTTGGCGTCCACACCACCCTCCCCTCGCCCTGCCTGGGCAAGGCTTTGGTGCCATTATGGGCTGCTTCCTGTGACAGCCTTGCAAGCAAGTGGCAGCTGCCAAGCCAACTGGCCGAGTGGCAGGAGTAGCCGGGGTGGGCATCCTGGTGACAGTGTCAGTGCCCACACTCATTGGCTCAATCACTCATTTAGGGAACCCGATAACTCTGGCAACCGGGCAGGGATCCGGCTGGAAGGAAAAGCACTGGTGTGAGCCGTCCTGCCCAGCGCAGGGCTGGGTGTGGTGGAGTTGGGGTACTTGGGGAACTGAAGGAGGGGAGTCCGGGAGCATGGGTGGTGCAGGAGCAGGGAGCTGAGCGTTGTCCTCGGCAGATGAGCAGATGAACGCTAAGACAACCACAGGGCTCCTGACCTTCCCGTTTGCAAAGCCGTACCTTTCCCAGCCGTTGTTGCATTTGACCTGAGTGCTCATTTGTGATAGGTGTGGCCCACGGCCCCATTTGACAGAGGATGACACACAGGCTCAGAGAGAAGTCACCTAGGGAGGGCCACGTGGTGGGTCACAGGTGGAGCTCATTCTAGAACGAGCTCTCCTAATGCTCAAACCTCTGTGCACTTTCCACGAAGCCATGCTGTGGCTAACCAGTAACTTCTCTGCTCTCTGCCTGATCCTGAGCCTGCACTCGGGAGCACAAGACTGGGCAAGGCAGCAATCTGCTAGTCAGCTGACAACTGTTCCTGGAGTGCCACCCATGAGCCACACCATTACAGGTTAGCCACGGGATCCAAGTCCCCAAACCCAACCCTTTGCCATCATGTTGATTCTAATGCACAGCACCCCTATAGCACAGAGTAGAACTGCCCCTTAGGGTTCCCCACGCTGTGAATCTTTACAGAAGCATACCGTCACATCTTTCTGCTGTCAAGCGGCAGTGGGCTTGAACTGCTGACCTTGGGTTAGCAGTCCAGTGCTAAATAATGGCACCCACCAGGGTGGTGAGCAACAGGAGTTAGAAGCCTGCCTCACCGAGCCAGGATTCTTACTACACAGAGAGAGACTTAGATACTATTATTTAAGGGAGAGACTTCTCATGAGAGGCACCGGCTGGGAATTGAACCGTGTCTCTCTCATGGGAGGTCGGAAGTCAGCATCATGGCCAAACGCATACGTTTCAGCTGGAGACACAGCGCATTTCTGTATGTCAATCTCTGTTTATGGTAGCTGCCACCCCATGCAGTCCTCAGCCTGCTCCTTCGGATGTTAGGTAACGAATATGATGCAACCCAACATTACAGCCATGCGGTCATAGCAGTGTGGGGAAAGTCCTGAACCTAATCACTTCTGAGCTCTAAAAAGAGTCAGATGAAGCAGAGAGATATGGGTGTTGCTATGAGGTCAGTGGAAACCTGTCTGTTGTTTTAAGCCTGACCAGGTTTCAGCAGAACTTCTAGGCTAGGACGGACGAGGAAGAAAGGCCTGGTGATCTGTTTCCAAAATTCAGCTAGTGTAACCCTATGGATCACAACGGTCTGATCACACAGCTCAGAGACCCGCAGGGTCTTCCTGCCTGGGCGGGGCCAACTCCGGAAGGGAGGAACCCAAGAGTGACAGAGTCCCTGAGTGAGGAGGGGGAGGGAGGGCTGTGGCTGAGACTGGGGAACCAGGCAGATGTCCAGAATATGCCAAGATCAGAGGGGTTTTGAGGAGCAGGGCAAGTGAGGCTGTGCAACATGGTGACTGTAACCAGTGCCACTGAATGGAACACTGACAATTGGTTAAAAGGCACATTTATATCTCCTATCATTACCCCCTTTTCTCACAAAATGAGGTGTCTAGTCTCATTGCTTATCTTCCTCCCTCTCTGATTTCAATTCCAATTTTATTCCTCCACCCAAACAGTCCTTCCTAAGGTCTCAGTGACCTGCTTTGACACCACTAAACCCAGCCCACTTCTTCCCACCCCCCCATCCTTCTCACCCCGAGGCAGCACCCACACTGCACCGAGCCCCCTTTGAAAATGCATTCCCTTCCCTTGGTTTCCAAAATGTCACCTTCCTCCTACCTCCCTGCTCTACTGCCTCTTAAGCTGCTGCAGTCTCCTCCACCAGCCTTCCTCGGGAGAGGCGCCCCGCCCCCGCCAGGTTAGATAGTTCGGTATAAAAATGGTCCCACAAAGAGCTTCTAAAACTTCCCCCACAGACACGGAAATCCAAAGCGCTCGGTCGTAGCCATCTGAAGCAACAGAGACTCCTCACAAGAAAGGAAGCGAAGATGAAAGTGACTATCGCCGGTCAGAGCAAATGAAAACCATCTGCCGACTGGGGGGGGGGAAGGACACAAAGACGACCTTCGCACACTTGCCTGAAGGGTGGCTGACCTGCTAACGCCAAGGTGGGGCGATTCAAACCCACTCTCCGCTCCGTGGGAGAGGTGAGGACGCCTGCTCCAGTAAGGGCGCATAATCTTGGAAACCCTCTGTAAGGTTGCCAGGTGTTGGAATTCCCCCTCGATGGCAGTGGGTTTGTGTGTGTGTCAATTTTTACTCATTTTATCGGGAGCTCTTCCAGATACCATACCATTCCATAGTTCAATCACACCAAGCAGTGTTGCACAATTGCTACCACCATCAGTTTCAAAACATTTTCCTTCTTCTTGAACTCCTTGATATCAGCTCCCCTTTGTCCCCTCCCCCCCAGCTCTACCCCCTAGGAACCCTTTCGCCCCCTATAATAGGTCCCCCCCCATATCTTACACAATCCAACATATCCATTCACATACAACTCTGTTGTTCAATCCTATCGAATGGGGGTGATACAGTCGTCAGGGCTATCAGCTCCCTAGTCCTCCCCCCACCTCCCTGTACCCTCAGGGAACCGTTACTCCTGTTACTGTTTCTGAAGGGTTATCTATCTTGGCTTTCGTGTACTGAACGATCTTAAATATACAAACGAACATACGCAAATCTAACATGATTAATGAGGTAAAATAAACACTGTAATAGTCAGGAAATATTCAAGAACCAGAGGAGAGTTTAAGTGGTTGGTTCATCAGTGCTGTACTGAACTGATCGTTCATCATCGGTGGCTTTGGTTTTTTGTTTGTTTCCTGAAGATCGAGGGGGAGGCATGGGTGGTTCAGTGGTAGACTGCTGCCTTCCAGAGGGAGACCCGAGTCGGATCGTGGCCAGTGCAACTCAGTGTGCAGCCACACCGCTGTCTGTGGGGCTTGGGAGTTGCTACGATGGTGAATGGGCTCCAGGGTCGGTTCTAGACTAAGACAGACTGGTCAATCCACTTTCCGAAATCAGCAATGAAAACCCCAAGGATTACCAAGGCTGATCTGCCCCTAATCATGGGGACAGCACAGGACCAGGCAGGGCTTATCATGAGCGAACAGGATCGTCATTGAACAACATCAAACTTTAAATTGCATGCACCGGTCGACAGAGCAGGCATCCTCCTTGATACTTCTTTGGTAAATATGTTCATGTATATGTAAAGGGACCGGCATGCAAAAATATTTAAAGCAGAATGGTTTGAGATAACAACACAGCCTCAAGGAGGTGGCTTGGATGAACAGACATTTATTCTTTCAAATTAGCCTGAGTGGCGTTAGCGAGCTGAGTGGTTGTGAGGTTGAGTCTTTGGGGACGGGCATTACTGGCAGCATGGCTGACCGACATGAGCAGATCTCAGAATTCAAGGCAGCATTTTCACTACTGGACCAGGATGACGATGGAAGGATACAAGAGAGGAATGGGGAACCGCTATGAGGTCTCTTGGGCAGATTCCCACAGGAGCAGAATGTCGACATGATTCCTGAAGCAGAGGCTGATGGTGATGGCACAGCGGACTTCCCAGAATGTCTGACAACGATGGCAAGAAGAATAAAGGATGCAGACAGGGAAGAAACCACGAGAGAACCTTCTGTGCGTTCAGTCTGGATGGCAGCAGAGCTTCATCCGTGATGACAAACCTTGGAGAGAAGTTCACAGATGAAGAGGCTGATGCAGATATTGACGGCGATGGTCAAGTATGTACAAATGATGAGTTTGTGCAGACGATGACAGCAAAGTGAAGACAGGCTCGAGGATGTGTCAAATTCCTTGTACACAACTGTTCATTTGCCTTTTCTCTGCAACTTATCTGTAAAAGGTTTTCCCCAGCTGTCAAGAGACTCTGCCTGCAGAGCCATCGGCGTTCAGTCCTCCATGTTTCCTAATCTTGCTGGCCTCGGCCTCAAGCCCTAGTTTAGAAAACGGATGGAGTAGTATGCTGCCTGTGGCTTACTCTGGCGCTAAGTCCTTCTGCACATGCAAACTTAGATGGGATTGGCCAAATGAGGGAACATCTGGGTTATGCCTTTCCCCCC